AAAATCCTTATGATTTAAAATGGTTTGCAACCTGTTTTGGAAAAAAGTCCTGTATTCTGTCCTTACGTAGGTCCTTAAGGCTTTGCTAATTTTTCATCTCTCCGGCCTAAAAAAAAAGTGGCGCCCGAACTAAAAGGGTCGTGGATGATGAATCTCCACACCCAGGATTTTGGCGATTGGGTCCCCTAAAAACCCCAGTCACTCTTTTAAAAGGGGGAGTATATAAGGTATTTCTCCCGCCTTCCTAGCGTGCCTTCGTCGTGTAGTGGTCAGCACACTGAGCCGGTGTTTCAGAGGTCCGTGGTTAGATTCCTGTCGAAGGCATTGCTAATTTTTCATCTCTCCGGCCTAAAAAAAATCCTAATGTCTCTACAAAGGAAGTAAAAAACAAATAAAAGTTTTCCAATTTTGCAGTGTTATGAATTTTTAATATTCGGTAATTGTTACAATAAAACACTCATTAGTAAAATAACATGTCGTTTTTCTTAACAACAGTTAAGAAAAAGAACTGATGTATCTGAATTAATCCAGATTGATAAAATTAATTGATTTATTAAATTCCTTTTAGTTCAATTTCCGATAATCTCATCTACTGCCAATTATGTTTAACATCCGATGATACGAAATCGTTCAATTTAATTAGTCCTGTATTTAGTTGACCAATATGACTTGTCTCAAATTTTCTAAAATATATCAGCGATCAGTTATCCAAATGATTCTTTGCGGAAATAAATCACATTTGAATTTCAGAAAAGGGAATTTAATAGCTTGCAAAAGGCAAGTGAAACATTAGTTTTCCTTATAAATGCTGAATACGGTGTTCCTTTAAGCTAAAATAGTTAGCCTATCTAGTATTATTAATTCTTTGCATGCTCATTCATCACAAAGTACCTCCAGGCGAATTTTAGTAGAATTATGCTTTATTTAATTAATCAAATTACACGAATATGTTCCATATTTATTTATAATTAATTAGATTTCAGCCGTATTTAATACGTGTAATTTATTTTACTAGCGAAACATCAATTTATCAGGGGCTTTTAATACATTAATTTTGCTTTTAATTCATAAAATTAACAAATCACGAAACCGGATATAATAAGCCTGATTTTAAATTAACTTTCAAACCAAAAGGTCCCGTTCAATATACTCGTACATTATTGAAAGGGGCAATACACATAATTACGTATCATTAAAGAATGCGCTCTCTAATGTAAAAGTCTTGCTGTTAGTTAATTAACTCAAAACAATATGCTTATTCTTGCATAGCATGCTGCTATAAATTGCATGTAAGACGCATATTTTCAGTTTGACAGTAAATATGCATGCAGGACAAGATAACAGTAAATTTTAACTGTTTACCAAACAAATGACATTTTAACATATATTAAGTTTACTGTACATAATGATTGCATAGCTACATTAATTCGCACTTTTGAATTACATAATTAGTATAAATTGTTTCATAAAATTGACCCAAAACATTAATATGAAAACTAACTTGCATTATCATGTGAACATATCTTCATTTTCTTTCATGGTGAAAAGTAAGAAATGAATTCAATACATTTTCCATGCTATCTCCTACAGGATGTAAAACATGCTACCACAACAATTTTCATACAAATAATTTCAGCCTCAATATATTAGTGCAAGCATTTTAAAAATGATTGTTTATGTACGATAATTTAAAATTGAATAATTTTAGAGATAATTTTTACTTCCCAAAAATAATTTCAATCGTGAAAATTTTAAGACTTAACAATTAATTTATCAAGTATTATAATGAATTGCAAACTGAAACCCTATGCAGCCCACCTCCTTAACAATTACTTTTCGTGCTATTAACTCATATTATTCTCCTGCCTGTGGACCTAGCACTTTTTTTAACACTTGCGAACTTTCTCAAGTTTTATGTAAACGACATTTCCATTCATTTAGAGTATTCTCTTCTAGGAAAATAATCTCATTTCTCGTACACAATTTTGCTTTCCAACCTAAGAACATCCAATGATGTTGCATAACGTCTCCTACAGCGTCAGCTGAAGGTACATAAGAAAAACTACAACTATGCTGTTAACTCAACTATAAAACCGCGTATCTGCGTAAATGCAATGTAAGTATCTAGTGATAGTTGAAAAATTAAAACGATGCATTTCTTAAGAACCTGTAACATTCGTCATACAGTTTTCCATAACTTGTAACATTCGTCTATAGGATTTTGTTTCATGCAAGAAAAAATTTAACTGATTTTAAAGGTTTTCAGTTAAAATGTTTATTTCAGTTGAAATAAGTTCTCAGATATCGCTTATATGGTGTACTGGCATGCCATGAGGGTCAAGGGGAAGTTTTTCGATGGTTATGCGTATCTCAAATGGTAATATCTAGGTTACGGCATCCTTTCAAAATTAAGTCTACCATCACCAAACTACCTGGTCAAAACCGTCCAAGGCCACCTGCAATAAATTAAGTAGCACTAAATGCACGATGTCTTAAATAATTATCGCTCGAAAAGTCTCTCAGGACATCACTACTGCATAACAATAGTGTGCATATAATGAACATTTCATTATCATTTCAAGCATCAATATATTTATGTTATGACCACAGCATTCACTGCATATATGAACAAAATATATGAATTGCATATCCAGGCAGATCGAATTTCAACAGTCGAATACAGATTCACAATTTAATTACTCCATCTGTTCAAAAATGTCAGTATTTAAGTGATAGTGTAATAATAATCATTGTATATATAAGGGCGAGTCAAATGAAAGTGAGCCAACCCCTCCTCAGCAAGAATGGTTCGGTCCATCATCTGCGGCGCATGCGCGTAGCACAGAGACAGCCTTCATTTACGAAAGTGGCGCGAAAGTGTGAGGTTAAAGTTCTTTGAGGCGCTCTTACACTGGGTTGAAGACGGTAGCGTGACATAATGGACGCTCCAAAAGAGGAAACGCGTGGTTGTGGTCAGGGTTTTGACAGCTGAAGGTGTTTCCCAAAATGAAATAGTCGCCGTATGATGCTGTGTACGGTGAACATTGCATCGCATGGCCACTGTGAAGCGTTGGAGCAAACGGTTCAGAGAAGGACGTGAAAGTTGCAAAGACGATCCAGACCGGGCCAAAGCCAACTTGCAATCACCTCCGACACAATTGCACAGGTTGATGAGCTGATTAGACAAGAACGGAGGATAAGCATCGATGAACTGGCAGAGCGTGTGAACATCAGTCATGGTTCGTTCACACCATAATCATGATATCGGTTATCGGCTTTTGTGCTCAATGGATGCCCAAGATTTTGAACGACCGCCAGAAGACGGATAGGTTCGCGCTGCTTTGACTCATTCATCCGGTATCACAATGAGGTGACGACTTCTTGTCTGTGTTTGTGACCAGGACGAATCATTGGTGCCACCACTACGAACCTGAAAACACGCCGGCAAAGCTTACAGTGGAAACATTTGAATTCCATTCCCGAAGAAAGCAAAGGCTGTATTTCCTCGGGAAAGGTGTATGACTTTTTTTCGATCGTCAGGAGCCATTATGATTGAATTTGCTAAACGGGGAGAGACTATAATAGTTCGCGATATTGTGCAATCTGGATCGGGCTGCGGTCGAATCAAGAAAAAACGACCTGGAAGATTGACGAAGGGTGTGATCTTGCTACACGACAATGCTCGTCCCCACGTCGCTGATGTGGTTAAGACACAACTGGCAAAGACATCCTCCATACAGCCCAGATTTGTCGCCATGCGACTTTCATATTTTCGGGAAACTGAAAAAACATCTCAAGGGTACCAGATTCGTGTCGGACGACGCCGTGAAGGAGTCGGTTACAGACTTTTAGAGTCGACAGCCCAAGGAGTTTTATGAGACGGGGATCACGCGGCTCATTTGTCAATGGGATAAATGTCTCAATGTTCATGGAGACTACCTTTAAATAAAGTACTCTGTTTGTCATATATTCGCCTTGGCTCACTTTCATTTGACTCGCCCTTGTATATAGAATGAATTAAGTATTAATGTAATCACACGATAAATCATTTAAAGCATATCTTGTACATGTGAGCAAATCATCTTAACTGTTGTCTACATATACAGCGTTAAAAATCATAAAATATCCAGTGATACATACAATGCTGTAGATAACAAAATGTTGAATCTGATCAGGTAGGTTATGTTGTAATCTAAATCATGCAACAGCTACGTACGTAAGCATTTATTGCACATTATATACCGTAAATGTTTCAATAATACCGTAAATCCGAATATAAGACGAGACAATAGATAACACTGCCAGCGGTGGCAAAGCTTGCGATGTGGATTGCATCACACAACAGTAGTACCTCAGCGCCAAAACTGCACCGTGGTTTCAGGAAGGCGTTATTAATCTTGATAGCTAGTGTAAGCGGCTTTTAAGTACTCAGGATAAATGGTAGGTGGCCTCGCATTTGAAAATATAACTTGTGTATATGCATTTCCTGACAGTTAAATACTTATACATAAGCCTTGTCTCAAAATTCTAATAAATCATGCCACTATTAAATTTGGTTATAAGAGATTTTTCTTCCACTATTAAATTTGGTTTTAAGATGGCAGAGGGATAATTCTCAGATGAAAACATTTTCCTTAGTGGCATTATAGGGGTTTGTCGAAAACATCCTTTTATCGGAGTTTGTCTTAAAATCAGAGGATATTTATCCTGTGCTTTTATTAAATGGCGTTATGTAAATAAAAAATTTCATAATGTGAAAATTGACATTATTTTGTACATTTCTTAAGTAAATTCATTGGCTTAAAAAAAGATATCGTACTATAATTTTGAAGCACACTGCACAACTGCCAAGCAAAAGTTAAGAAAAAAATCTTATTCTGCAAATAGTTAAACACAGTTATATTTGTATACAAAAATTATAAAAAATAAGCTGCTCCCTCTTATTTTTTCTAATGAAGTGTCAAACAATATGCTGATAAAAATTTAGTAATTCCTCTTACCTCGACCTCCTTGTTGTGGGGTCTTTCATCACCATGACCTCTGTAATGTCACCATATTTACTAAAATATTCTCTAAGGCCTTCTGAAAAAAAAAAAGAGCAGAACATCTCTCAGATGAAAGGAAGTTTAATTATCTACACATGCACTGCAATAACGTTTTAAACATATAAAGAAAAAAAGTGAAAAAAGACAATAAAATTTTACTGTTAAGCAGAATTTAAAATTTAGTTGCATTACCATGATATTTTCCTTTTCTATTATGAAACATAGTGCTTTTGTTTCTTCGTATATAAATTAAAGTTCAATCAAATATATCCTATGCAAAGTATTGTAATATGTTAGTTCAGGCTTTCAGGTAAAAGCTGTGTTATTATTAATTGAATATCATAATACATTCTCCAAACATGTATGGCCATGTACTGGGCCGATTGATGAAATTTAATTTGCGTTTTTCATGTCCCGAAAGCGCGACTTCGGATATGATTAGACTTATATACAGCATTGTTCTAATATAGGTATTTTGACAAAAAATCAGACTTTTTCTGAAATGACATGCAATGTTTTTCCATATTTCGATTCTACGACTCAAAACTGCCAAATTGCCAAGTATTGTAAAATCGAACCAGTAGTTTTTAAAAAATTAGCTCTCAAAATTTCAGCTCCTCACTGTTAATTGAATTTGCTATATATTTATTAATATCTCTTTTTTATCTACTTGATTCCTTCTTCCGAAAATTCGAAATTTAGGCTTAATCCAAATATAATCAGCAAATTTTTTATCATTTATTCTTAAAATTTGTATTTTAAAATATTTTTTTATAAATTTTTCGAAATATTTTTGTACTATAACCTACAAAATTTGAAACATCATATTAAAGTAGATGTATTTCTAAGCACACCTGTAAACAATTAGAGTTTTTTATTGAAAATTGTCTAAGATATACATGAATTTACATACTGGAGCGTTTTGAAATTTGGAATCTTTTTTTAGCGATAATTAGGCCAATTTTTTAGCGATAATTAAGCCAAATGCGCAATTTTTAAAATTATTTGAAAGTATGAAAGATTACATTTTTTACCCGCTCGTCTACAATGAAAAAACGAAATGGAAAATAGGTTGCTATAAATTAAGAAGTTCGCGGAGTAAATTATTCTTGGCGAAAACTGAAAAAATAAAAATATGCTAAGATAATTTTTTTAATTTCTATGTTAGAATGATGCTATATATAAATCTAATATATCCTAAGTCGCGTTTTCGAAATATGAAAAACGCAATCTGAATTCCGTCAATTGGCCTAGTAGAACGGGAGATATAGAACAGTTCTTTTTTTCACAGTATACATACAGACATATGTACAAACCCACAGTCAAACGTTCTAAGCACTTGCGAAAAGGTAATATTTAAAACGTTTCCTGTAAGATACTTGAACTCGACATATGATTGCATTGTAGGGTTTTACTTTATTTTTCTAATAGTTAATTTGTATTTTGGATCAAGTCTTTCGTGTACGCTCTCGTCTTCTTACCTACGTTTCTTTGCCAGAATAAGTTTTAAGTATTATACGTTTATAACAAAACTTTCCGGAGTGAGGGATTTCTAAATTAATCCCTGTTACATGATTCCTATCTAACGCACGACACTTGTTTTAATAAAAAGGCGAAAGAAAGGTAGTTTATCCAATAAAATGCTAAGATTTGTGAGCAAAACCTTAATCACCCAACAAAAATAAAGCATAACCAAAACTTTATTATTCATTCATTTAACATTTATATTACATTCTTCGTGTATTCTCAAGTATTTCTATGATGTTAAGTTGTTCCATGTTTTCTATAAAAACGTAAGCTGTACGCTTACAGCTTCGAAATCAAAGGTTGCACCCATCTCATGCATCCTGTTTCATTGTATTTCGTTCAAGGAAATATGTTTCATTAAACATAATTTGTGAAAGATTAAACGTGAATCTACTTCTTCAAGCAGCATCTACGCCAACATCGACAAATATTTTCATTACATATACCCACATAGATGTTTACTCACACGTATGCTAGGAAGTAGCTGAGCGTATGTGATTCAAATTTTGCGTTCATTATAAAGTAGTTTCTATTATAATAATCGCAAATATAGTCTTATGATATAGGACATTCATATATTTAGTTAACCTTTTAAATAATTAGTTTAAGAAACAAATAACTGCAGAAATGAACTGCGTTGCCATATGTCTGTTTGATGGATGTTGAGGGATGAATACGAAGTTTTTGAGATAAAGTAAAAATCCTGCTTAGTTGAATTTCGAATAACTGAAACAAAGCTTAACCAAACTTTAAATTAAATACCTGAATCTAAAAAAAATCCATTTTTATTAGCCCAAACGCCATTAGCCAGGAAGGGCTATTTTTTGTTAAAACGGGATTTTGCGTTGCATCACTTTTCAAATTTTTTTCATTTTCATCAAATATTATCGCCCTGTATTATATTTGAAGAAATTAAATAATAAAGAATGTGCATGATGTATGTTTCTCGCATTGTGAAAGAACAACGTTACCTAGAACCATCAAATTTTGAATAAAATAGCCCTCCATCAGAGTATGAGCACCTGCAAGTCTGAATTTGGAAAATTTTTATTTTCTATTACATATTTTGGAAAACATCAACGAATTTTTGATTTAAAAACTCAACGATTTCAAAGCGAGCAGTGGCAACACTGTAAGTAATAACACATTTTTATCTCCAGAGTGCAAGACTGTCTATCGGAAGCTCTAAAGATAAGCTGTTTTTAAATATTTTAAGCCGAAAGTGACATAAGCCCAAATGCTCTAGAAACGTGCATGTGTCTGGAAATGAAAAAACGCCCGTTTGGACGTAATATAAAACTTGAAAATTTTCAGATTTATATTTTTTACCTGTTTATCTATTTATTATTATTATATTTCAATTAATACTTTTTAGAAATTTATTTATTATATTCTGAAATGAAATAATATGATTTACATACATTAGTAAACATGGACATTTAAATCCAACTTGTATTAAAAAGCCTTCGTTTGAAATTAAAATCTATCAAAATATGAAATCATCAAAGAGAATGGTTCTTAGAGACAAAGTAAAGGAAGATTCCCCTTATTTATAGAAGGGAATTCCGCATCCAAAGAATAACATTTTTTCATCACTTTTTACTTTTGACGTTAACTCCTCTTTGCTCAGGAACAGCAAAATTAAATTATTTTTTTTTCTCCTGTTTATCCGCTTAATACGGTATTTGTTTTTTTTCCTGCCTTAGATTTAATAATTCCATTGTTTAGTGTTATGAACCTGTACGCAGAGTACTGTAATTAATTTTAAATAAGCAAATACCTATGGCAACGAATTAATCCATTTTACTTTAATTTCTATGGAAAACACTGTTTCGATTTACGAACGGCCTTCAGAAACGAATTCTTAAACAGACGTTTCACTGTAGTTCACACATTATTGCTCTTGTTCTTACTAAATATCCCGGTAAAGTGAATATTTAATTAACTTTTCCGATAATTACATAATTCTAAACATTTTCAGTCCATTTTATAGAGATTTATAAATTGTTCAGTTTGTGAATGGCGGTGGGTTTGTGGATTCATACTGGGAGAAGCACGATTGACTCCTTCTTCTTGCATGCAGTAACTACTTAAGCATTTTATATGTCTACAAATAAACTTCAGAAAATTACTAGCCGTTTAGTGGATTTTTATGATCAATTTAATAAAAAAAACCGAAAAAAATACTCTGATAGCTATCTGATATTACGTCCAAAGTTTTTTTTAGCGTTTTGTATGTTACCTTTATGTATTAAATATCATGTTCTTCGCACTTAAACCATAAAATTCAATTCAACAGCAGTATCATAAACTAATTTTAAGAGAGCATATCTTTAGATTTTCCGATACACAGTCTCGCGCGCTGGAGATAAAAGTGTTTTTTTTTTTCACAAAGTGTTGCCATTCCTAGTTTTAAAATCGTTCAGTTTGTTAATCAAAAACTCACAAACGCTTTACAAAATGAATGGATA